AGAGAAGCGGGGTCATGCTGCTAGGAAGCTGGAAAAGCCAATGAGTGAAGACAGCCATGTGGGGCCTGGAGTTCTCTTCATCCTGGGAACAGTAGGGAGCCATGGGGTCACTTTGGTACTTTGATGCTACAGTAGCAAAGGGAAACCTGCCTTAGAAGGAAATTGGCAAAGTGGCAATATTGGATGTGCCTAGAGCAGGTGAGAAAACAACACATTGGCCTGCTAAGTGGTGGAGAGACGTGGCCAAATTCAAGAGATAAGGCCGAATTCTTAGACATAGATTGAATGGGGTGAGATGTGATTCCTGATGCCAGGATGGGCACGAGATGGCATGGGGAATACTAGGAATGGGTGGCTTTGGAGGAAACTAAGGTGGGCCAACATTTGATGCTGTGTAGAAGACATGAGGAGCAAGGCCAGGGAGGAAGTGAGAGTAGGGTATCTTGGAAGCCAAGAGAAGAAAAGGCTCTAAGGACACTGAGTGGTCACCAGGCACCAATGCTACTGGGGGACCACACAGATGAGGTGACCCTTGGATGTAGTTGAGGTACAGTGCCCACAGATGAGGTGTTCCTTGGATGTAGTTGAGTTACAGTGCCCACAGATGAGATGTCCCTTGGATGTAGTTGAGGTACAATGCCCACAGATGAGGTGTCCCTTGGATGTAGTTGAGGTACAATCCCCACAGATGAGATGACCCTTGGGTGTAGTTGAGGTACAATGTCCACAGATGAGGTGTCCCTTGGATGTAGTTGAGTTACAGTGCCCACAGATGAGATGTCCCTTGGATGTAGTTGAGGTACAGTGCCCACAAGAGACTCAAGAGAGAATTGTTGTCATGTGGTAGTGAGTGGGATTGGAAGGCAGCTTGAATAGAGACTGGCAGAACCATAAAACAAGCCACTGGACCTGTTGGACTAGACAACTGTGGTGACTGGACTGGCTGGGGCTGGTGTCTACAGAGGGATGAGGTGGCCTGAACCCTTTGTAGCTCCTGATAATGAAACAGATGAGGGAGTAGTTTGGGACTTCATGCCCCACCCTAACCACCTCAACTATAAACCTGCCTGCTGGGAAAGCAATAAAGCCAAAGATGACAGAAAGAATTTGAGACAAGAACCCCAGGATCCCCACCCTGGTCTGAGGTGGACCAGCATGGACAGGCAGAGTACAGTAAGCCAAGCTGGATGACTAGACTCAGGACACCAGAAAACATGGTAAAATGCTTAGAGTAAGAAGTTATATATGCATGTATATATACATATTCTGGCCTTATTTAGGTATAATTGAAAAGTAAAAATATATATTAGACATACTTACCTACTATGAGTGATACCATGTAATCAAGCTAACACATCCACCCCTTCACAGTTGTCCTTTTGTGTGTATGTGGTGGGAATGCTTAAGACTCACCACATTTAAAGTCTACAGTATAATATTAACTACAGTTGCCGTACTGTATAGTAGATTCCCAAATGTATTCACCTTATAAATGGATGTTTGGACTCTCCGACTGACACCTGTTTTCTCTATCCCTAGACCCTGGCACTACTCTTTTACTCTCTATTTTGTGAGTTCAATGAGATTCCACATTAAAAGAAATAATGTGATATTGGTCTTTCTGTGCCTGGCTTATTTCACTTAGCATTATGTCTTCCCTGTTAGAGGAAGTTACCTATGACATGTATGTGTGTGTGTCATTTCCCCACTCATTGATGGGTAGATGTTTAAGTTCATTCTATATCTTCATGTGATGATGCTATAACAATACAGGGATGCAGATACTGCTTTACGATGCTGACTTCATTTCCTTTGGAAATGTACACAGATGTAGGATTGATGGCTCTATACGAATCCTATTTTTAACATTTGAGGAGCTTCCACAGAGTTTTCCACTGTATGAATTTGCATTTCTAGTCATAGTTTAGAGAGATTTCCTTCTTCCCACACCCTCACCAATATTTGCAATTTTTATTGCACTTAATTAATTTTGTATATCTGAGTGTTTGTGGGGTGGAGCGGCACATGTGCTGTGGTGTATGTGTGGTCAGAGAACAACTTGTGGGAATCAGTTCTCTCCTACATGTGGGTTCCAGGATTGAACTCGGGTCGTCAGACTTGGTGATGAACACTTTTACCTTCCCAATGCTGGCTACTTCTTGTCTTTCTGATAACAGCCAACTTAACAGGTGTGGGTGGGGATGGCCTACAGGTTCTGATTTGGACGTCTGTGGTCATTAGTAGTACTGAGCACCTTTTCTTACACCTGTCACCCGATTGTATGTTTGTTTGTTTGTTTTGAAACAGTTTCATGCAGTGTGGGCTAGCCTTGAATTTAGTGCATAGTCAAGGACGATGACCTTGAACTTGTGATCTTCCTCAGTGGCCAAGTGCTGACATTACAGGTATGTGCCATCATGCTAGCTTTATGTGGTGCAGCACTCAGGGCTTGGTATATGTTAGGCAAGCACGCTACCACAGAGCTATACTTCCAGCCCTCATTGCCTGTTTTTTTTCTTTGGATTTTATTGTTGTTTGTTTGTTTTCAGAAGGGGTCTCACTGTGTGTCCCTGGCTGTCCTGGAACTCACTTTGTAGCCCAGGCTGGCCTGAACTCCCTGAGATCTGCCTGCCTCTGCCTCCTGGTAGCTGGGATCAAAGGCGTGTGCTATCATAGCAGGGCCCTTTTTAAATCAAGTTGGTTTTCTAGTATCGGGGTGTGTGAGTGCTCCATATGCTCTGGGCACTGACTCCTCATTAGACGTGTGGTGTGCACACGTTTTAGACCATTCTGCTTCTTTAAGTCAGTGGTCGTTTTTCCTTTGCGACACAGCTTTTCAGCTTCTCGTCACCCACTTGTTTATTTTGCTTTCGTTGCTTATACTTTTGATGTCAAATTAAAAAAAAAAATCATTGCCAAGACCAATGTAAGGATCCTGGGGAAAACTGTTTACTTCTAGATTTTAACAGTTTCGGATTTTACATTCAAATGTTTATAATTAAGAAAAAACATACATTGAAATATCCATATGAGAAAAGACTTAGTGGACTTTCTTATTGCATACTTTGTTGTTCTGTATTGTAATCAGATGTGGGAAGACATCAAATTCTTCCCAGGGTCTAGGGCCCAGCTCTAGGGTTTGGGGGAGTTCTTGGTTCTCCCTCTGCGATTCCTACCTGGGGCTGGGGGTTAGCACTGAAAACCATCTCTGGGTTCTGGCAGCTGGGCCTTCCTTCCCAGAAGCCCTTCCTTCTCCTTTCCATTTGCATCTCATTAGCACCACTTGGAGTTGCTGGCAGCTCAGCCTGGAGCTCTGGGACCAGGCTGTAGCCTGGCACAGGCCCTGCTCCCATCGTGAAAAGGGGAGTAGGGATGCACGCCTCCCTCTTTCCACCCTACATGCTGTGCCGTAGGGTCAGAGGGACTAGGATGTTCTCAGCTCTTTACACTCCCATCCAGGCTCATGTTCCCTAGACTCCCCTCCCTTGTGTGTTCCTATGGCAACAGGGTGATGGTGCAGGGGTCTTGGAGCATCACAGTCATCCAGCTACCCTCCCCTCCACAGCCCAGGCTGGATTGGTGACAAGCAGGGCCTCAATCTCCTGAGATGATCAGTGATAATTGGTTTATGGAAATAGCTGAGAAGCTGAGGTACATTCCCAATAGAAACCAGCCTCCCGCCAAGCCAGCTTTCTGCCACCTGTCCTTCCCTGGTTAAGTAACGGAGCTGGGGGAGGAGAGGGCAAGAAGCTGGGCTGAGGCTGGTGGGGTTTTTCTGGGCAAACCAGGCAAGAGCTTCACCTGTTGTTCTTCAGCACAGCCTCTATGCCTTGTGGGAGAGGGGGTGTGAGAAGGGCTGCTTGTCATTTAGCCAAGCTTTGCATCCTCGGCCCATTAGTCTGTGACCGTGTTGGGTGCACTGTTGGAGAAATGGGAGAATGAGACCCGGGATCTGCAAGAAGCCTCAGTTCTGGGGACAGACAAGAAACATGTGTTGCCGTTGCTAGGGGATCTACTCTGGTAGATCTGGCTGTCTGGAGGAGGAGGAGGTCTGAGCAATGCTTTGAAGGTGAAGATTTAGTGGTTGTACACATGAGGGCTGGGGCAGGCATTCTCCAAAGGGACTGAGCAGTGGGCAGGAAGTGCCTGATGCAGGCAGGGAGGTGTCAGGTAGAACTGTGGGAGGCAGCTGGAGCTAATTTCCCTCCAGAGGGAAAGCTGGCTGGCTACAGTGTTGCCTCACATGCTCTTGGAGGAGAACTGAGGCTCATGAGGTGGGGGCAGCAGACACGGCATGGCAGGCCACTCCATGGCAGAAGTAACTAGGGGGAGAGGCAAGGGCCCACAGCGGGTGGCTGGAAGTTGCACAACCTCTTGAACCCCCAAAAGTCAGGAGAGGCAGACTCCAAGTCTTTCTGTGACAGGAGAGTAAGGAAGGACTTCAGAAAGTAGCCAAAGAGCCAGATGACAGAGAAAGACTGGAAGCCATTCCCCAGCCAGGCTTCAGGTAACAAGCAGCATCCCAGGAAAAAAGTCCGTTCTATATAAGGTGATGGATGGTGGAGGTAAATGACCAGAGGAAGGTAGTGAGCCCACGCTGAGTTTTTTCCATGTTTACCTTTCCAGCTCACTAGCCCATTCCCATTCTTAGGGGCTGTTTCCATTTCTAAGTATGTGTCCCTAGTTCAATTTTTTCCCCCTAAGACAAACTGAAACTCAAATCTGTGCTTATAACATCTCCTCGGACCATCCCCACCCCACTCTGAGCCCAGCACAGGCACTACAGACAAGGGCCTTGCCCTTGTGAGGTCAGGCCCTGCTCAGCCCTGGCAGCAATTACCACACAGCAGGGGACAGAACAGGCCTCTCATTTGTACAGCCTTAGCATGACATCTCTGGGTACCACAGTCCCTTCAGGAGCTCAGTTTCCAAATGTTCATCAGATGGTTTCTGTTCACAGATCCAAGCCCACCCCTACCCCAGCTTCCACAGCTACTTACACCACCACATAGGGCCACGGCTCAGAGCCATCCTTGCTGGCAGGAAGGTTGGTAGCTCCGTGCACAGTGACCGTGACAATCTCCTTATTATAGGGAGCCAGGTAGTTGGTGTCAGGACCTGGGTCCAGGGAGATATCCAGGGGGTCCCCTGGTTCTTCAGGAACCTGTGGGGAGAGCCAGGGCTAAGTGGACTCTTCTGATGGAAAGCTTCTCTCTACTATCACCCATAACCTCTACCAGGCATTTGGAAGCTTTTTGACATTGTAATTTTGGCTAGGGAACCATGTATTTAATTGTAAAACAAAGGAAAAATCAGGAAGAAATTTCATAAAAACCGCTGAGGGTGGTGCACATTTATAATCCCAGCCCTTAAGAGGTAAAGGCAGGAGGACCAGGAGGATCAGAAATTCAGTCATCTTCAGCTACTCCAGTTTGAGACCAGCCTGGGTTATATGAGACCTTGTTGCAAAACAACACATGATTGGTCAGTGAATTGGCTCTCCCTTTGGCTGTGTAAGCCTGATGACCTGAGCTGGATTCCAGAAACCCATGGTGGAAAGAGAAAAGTGACTTCTAAAACAGTTTTCTTCTGATTTGCACTCACAGACATACACAATAGTAAATAAAATACAGTCAAATACAAATTTTATGTTTTAAGTAAGTCTGTGATTTTGTGTTGAACTGTGCTCACAGAGAGTCTTGGCTGTAGACTGGGTGGACCTGACTGTCTATTCCTCCCAGTACCTTTTCCTCTCTGTAACATCACCCTGCTTCCTGAACTATGGAACAGTAGCCTAGGAAGCCATTTTCTCCCTAGCTCTGTCTCACACACTGCATATCCTCCAGGGTCTCCCTTGCTTCTTCCCTGGCCCTTGGTGTGTCCCCTACTGCAACAGAAGTCAGGCCACCTTGGCTGGCAAGCACAGACCCTCCAGAAGCTTCTGCAGGTGCCTCTGTCTATAAGTCCTCAGTGCCACCTGTTCCTCAGGTCCTAGTGACTGCCACCTTTCTTCTTTCCTACACCTCCACCTGAGGTCACCAGTGTCATCTCACACCCATCCTACGGGACACTGAGGGCTGGGGCCAGGCAGGAACGACCACTCTGCTCCACCCTCCTGCCTCCTAGCATGGGAAAAGGAAACAGCATGGCTTACCCTGGGAACATTTATGAATGCCACTTAATTAGATTCTCAGAGCCATGGTACTGCATGGGTGATCACAGCAGGAGCCACAAACAACCCCCTTCTTCATCCCCAGGGCCCCCCAGCCCTTGTCCTGGTATTCCCTTTGCCTGGGCAGCTCTTTCCAGAAGACTCTAAGCCCTGCATCCCTACCACATCCCTCACTTGCTGTAGGCTGTGGTCCCTGCCTCACAAGTTGTCTCATTAGGAGGTGAGAACAGGGCTCCCCAGCCCTACACATGCCAGTTCCACGGAGGCCTCCTCTGCCTGTGACTGAGGAGTGAACCCGCTCCCTCCCCCAACAGGACCCAGCAGGGCCTGTCACCATCTGCAGAGGTGTTGATGAGAGTTGCCTGCCCCCACTGCATGGCAAGTGTGGGTGGAAGGGAGGGGAGCCTTGCTAGGTGGGGGAGGGGGAGCATTCACAGACTCCTCTAGGTCAGAGGACTTCCAGCATCCTGCTTCCACTGTGTGCCCTGCCACACCCTGCGGGGGGTCACCCCCCCCCCCCCCCCCCCCCGCAAGCTTGCTTTCCTGTGTTCTGATTGATACAGGGGTGACATCAGCTGACAAGCCAAGAGACCTAGGTCACAGCACCTTTGTCCCTTCTGAGATGCTCCCTCTCAGAGCCTGTCTCCCTGCACACCAGTGGGAATGTCTAGAATGATTTGTGATTCAGCTTTTCCAGGGCTTGGTGTGTCTAAGGTTCCATGAAGTTAGGCTTGGAGAGGTGAGTGACTTCCTTTGTACTGCCAGATGAACCTCCTTGCTGCTGTGAGGACACAAGCCTGCCATGGGTGGGCTCCCTGGGGCCACAGAAGTAAAGGCTCCTTCCCATGGCAGTTGTCTAAGGGTTTCTATGAGTCCTTGGCAACCCTGGAGGCCACCAGGCCTCTGCCAGGTCCAGAGATTGGGTGTCTTCCTTCCTCATCTACTCCATGCCTGCCTCTCAGGACAGTCTTCCAGGAAACACAGCTTACAGAAGCGCTGCTTGTGCTTCGTGTGTGTGCTTGAGGCCAGCTGCTAGACAGGCATCTCCTGGTGAGGCCTGCAGGCGTGGACCCCATGGACATGCTGGGCCTAGGGCCTGGGAGGCTGGACCCAAGTTATGGCCTGTAGGGGGCGGACACGAGATGAGTCAGGGCTGCCAGCCTTCATTTTGCCTCATTCCTTCCTCATGGTGTCCTTGCATCAGGACCAATGTCTCTGCCTGTCTCTGCCCCTGGTCACACTGAAGAATTTGTGGAGCAATAGGAATATATATATATATATATATGCATATGTATATATATGGAGGGAATTGTGGGTAAAGATGCTGATCCTGGGCAGAGAATCTTTTTCCATGAGAGCAGAGCTCCAAGCTCATCACAGCCTCTCAGGCCCCACTCTCGCTCACCCATGCAACACTGTTAAGATACAGAAATCAGCAGAATACAGTCTCACAGACCACAGACAAGGGGCTGGTGGTAAGCACAAAGTCTGCTGGTTTCCAAGCCGAGTTCCCTCAGCTACCCCTTAGGACTCAGGCCCCGGGAAGGCTTGGAAGCTGCTAATCCCAACATCTTGTCCATCCATGCAAGTAAACTTGACCTCCACAGGTAAGGAGTAGCCAGCAGATGTCCCAGAATGCTCGTTGCTTGGGGCAGAGTTGGGTGTGTGAGGAAGGAGAGGGGTGTGAGTAGGCAATGGGACCAGTAGCAGACAAGTTACACCTTCAGCAGGCTTCAGGTGGTTCTGCCAGGGAGAGGGATGAATGAGATTCACTCCATCCTATCTGCTGTTCCAGCGATCTGGGGAGCCATGGAAAGCTAAGAAGCCCGTATCTCTCTCCCAGAAGGGTCCACATCTGAAAGCACACTAGCTGAAGAGCCTGAGCTAGGTCCTCAAGAAGGATGCTGGCCTGAGAGGGTCTTGTGACCCTGATATGCCATTTGGGCAAATTATTAGACTCTGCTGAATGTTGGGCTTAAAAAAAATGGTCTCTCGCCGGGCAGTGGTGGCGCACGCCTTTAATCCCAGCACTCGGGAGGCAGAGCCAGGTGGATCTCTGTGAGTTCAAGGCCAGCCTGGGCTACCAAGTGAGTCCCAGGAAAGGCGCAAAGCTACACAGAGAAACCCTGTCTCGAAAAACGAAAAAAAAAAAAAAATGGTCTCTCAGGCCGGTGAGACGGCTTAGCAGGCAAAAGTTATTCTTGCTGCGTAGGCCTGGCAACCTGAGTCGGATCCCTATAACCCATATAAAAAGCCAGGGGAGGTGTCATACATCTGTAGCCTTAGCACTGCGGAGGCAAGATGGAGGATGGAGACAAGAAAACTGCCCAGAAACTCGCAGGTCACTCACTACCCTGCATGTGGGATGGGCAGAAATGACGAGAGATCTTGCTTCAGAACAGGGTAGGAGAATGCCAGTTTCTAAAAGTCATCCTCTGAACTCTACACACACCACACACACCACCACCACCACCACCAACAAAAACAACAACAACAACAAAAAAAAACCAGAAAAAAAAACCCCAGTATTTCACAATCCTTCTAGTTTTGATGACCGACCTTGCCTGGGTACTAGGGTAGCTGGTAAAACCCCTTTATACTGAAGAAAAGGACTCAGGATATGAGACCTCTCCACTCTTTTCATGCTTCTTCATGCAGACCCGTTTTTTGGGTTACTATGCCTGCCCCTAGGGCTTGCAGCCTCAGGACTGATTGGAAATCGCAAGGAGTTGGAGTGCCTGACACAGGAGCACCTTTTCACACCACGACCCAGGGCTGAGGTGCCGCTCAGTGGGAGAGCACATACTGAGCATGTACAAGGCCTGAGGCTGGATCCTCACACACACACACACACACACACACACACACACCATACTTAAAATGTCAGTAATCATAGGGAAGATAACTGATAGGTTTGACTACAGTTTTTAAAATTTCAGGCTGGGGAGATAGCTTGCAGGTAGAGAGCCTCCCTGTTATGCACAAGATCCTTGTATTCAATCTTCAGCACAGGAGGGAAGCCTCACAGTGTGGATTATAACCAGGCTTGGCGGCTCTTGCCTGGGATCCCATCACTTAGGAGGCAGAGGAAGGAGGATCACCACAAATCTGAAGGCTTGCCTGGTCTACATGAGTTCTGGGCCAGCTAGGGCCACACAGTGAGACCCTGTATCAGAAAGCAAAGGAAAAAAAAAGAAAAAAGGATGACAAGAGAAAGCTGCCTAAGTAAAACAGAGTGAAAGTTTCTAAGGAACAAAGTGCACTGAAATTTAGAAATATTACCCCAGTAAAAAAGTCACGAGCCGAGGAATGGCAAAAGAAGTTAAAATGAGGGGGCTGGGCATGGCTCAGTGGGTAAAGTGCTTGCTAGTACAACTTTATTGAGCACCTACTATATGCCAGGTAATGTTCTGAGCACTGGGTATACAGTAATAATCAACAAGAAAATAAAAAGGGGCAAAAATATAGAAAAACTGAAAACAAGCATGTGGAGCAGCATTCAGATCCCCAGCACCCACACAAAATCTAGGCACATGGCAGACTGACTCTGTGATCCCAGTGCTGGTAGGGTTAGGGGTGGGGGATATAGAAAGGCATCCTAGATCCCTGGAGCTCAATGGCCAGCCACTCTAGCTATTCAGTGAGCTCCAGGTTCAGTGAGAGACCCTGACTCAAAAAATACAAGGGGCGGGGTGATAAACAAAGACATTTGATGTCTGCTTCTAGCCTGCATGCATGCACACATGCACACATACCTGCACACACACATGTACACACATCAAGGAAATACGAATATATGATATTGTAAGGCAGGCATCCTTAGCATGCACCCACTGCCTCTGGTCTGTTCTTACAGATAAATGACACAGACATAGGTCTGGCTGGTGAGAGGTAAGCAAGCCCTTATGTTGAACTGTTGGCGTTTTGTGGCTCTGGTCCCCTCCTGGCAGGTTTTTGCTGTTCTTCCACATCTCTTTATTGAGCTCCTATCT